CTGTGGTAGCGCCAATGGAGTGCGCCTTCATCTTGACCATTTCCGTCACGAGTCCAACCTTGCGGGCCTGGGACTCGTAGCCTGCGTCCGAGAGGTTCTCTTCGTTAAGGTACTTCCATATATCCGATGGCGCTGCATCAGTAACGGCATTAAGGATGTACTTCTGCTTGAGCCACGCTGGAAATGGGACTGGCGCCGTGGGCTCGGCGCGCAAGAACATGAGGATGGCGCGGTACTGCTCCGCAAACTGACGATCCCAAGTACGATTACTAGCAACCCATGCCTTGGTGACGTCAAGGCAAGCGGAGAGCTGCTTGCGCCACACCTGGTACTCGGGCGTGTCTGGATATTTCTCACGGGCGCCATCACCGAGAGGTCGCTCCGTTGTGCTGATGCAGAGCGTGTAGTTCTTGAGAAGCAAGGCCAGAGCCTTCCGAAATTTGTCGACCGCTCCGAAGTAGCCATCCCTCTCGCCGTTCTTGGAGATGTCGATCAAGACCTGCTTCACCGACGTCAAACGGTTGGCGTACGGGCGACCACCCGAGCTGCATCCTCCGCCTCCGCCTCCGCCACCGCCACCGCCTCCGCCGCCGCCACCGCCGCCGCCGCCTCCACCGCCTCCGCCGCCGCCACCGCTTCTGCCCCCGCCGATGCCGCCCCCGCCAGGGCGCGTCGTGCCCTTCTTGCACTTGCGGTTCTTCTTGTCGTCGGCCGCGGTCGCGTCCTCGGGCTGGACGGCGACGGAGATCGACAAGCCGAAATTCCCCACGCGCTGCTTCTTGCTGGCGTGAGCTCCCATCAACCTGACGTCCTCGTCAGACTGATCGCAGTCGTCGCCTGCGCCCGTCGCATGGCCGCCATCGGCTGGCCCCGCAGACGAACTGCTGCCTCCGGCGGCGTTCTTGGACTCCAAGCGGCCCAGCATGTCCTCGAGAGACGTTCCAGTGGCATCTGGGAAGCTAGAGAAGAGGTCTCCTGACAGGCCGTCCATCACGTTATCGAGTTCACCCTCCAGAACGGCATCCTGCTGGTCGCGCTCGATTGTGATCTTCTGCACTGCCTGCTCAGGGGCGGTCTCCTCCTCCCTCCTCTCCTGCATCATCTCCTCCTTCATCTCCCTCCTCACACCTCATTCCTCGCTGCCTCATTCCCTCTCCTCTCCCTCATCCACATATCTCCAATGAGCACGGATGGGCGTGAAGGACAGAGCAGAGCCCATCGAGGCAATATAGCAAGTCCTGACATGAGAGGCTTCCAGAACTCATGCCCAGTGCGCAGAAGCGCAGTAAGTACCTACCCTAGGCTATGCCTAGAAGGGTCCTTACCGCGTGAGCTTAAGGGGCCGGGCAGCGCAAATCGCCCCGGGCGGTTCCCATGGCATCCGCCACGCGGTTCCCCAGGGGCGTACCCTTAGCTTAGCGTTGTTTATCTCATCGTAGCCTAGCTCAACTTAACTTAGCTTAGCTCAGCCTGGCCTACCCTAGCCTAGCCTAGCTTAGTTTAGCTTCGCATAGCCTAGCTTAGCTTAGCTCAGTTCAGTTCAGCTTAGTTTAGCGCAGCATTCGCATAGCATAGCATAGCATATCATATCATATCATATTATGCAAGTTCATAGCATATCATAGCATAGCGCAACATAGCAGAGCGCAGCATAGCATAGCATATCATAGCATAGCGCAGCATATAATAGCATTGCACAGCAAATCATAGCTTGGCATAGCACAGCGCAGCATGGCATAGCATAGTATCTCATATCAAAACATAAGGCAGCATCGCATGGCATACCAAAACATAACGCAACATATCATAGCATAGCATAGCATAGCACAGCGCAGCACACCATATTACAACATAGCAGAGCATAACATAGCGCAGCATACCATATCCTAACATAGCTTAGCACAACATCGCATATCACATCATCGCCTAGCTAGCAACACATGGCGCAGTATATCATACCTAGCATAGCATAACATAGCATAGCGCAGCATAGCACAGCATAGCATAGCATATCATAGCATAATATGTCATAACGTAACATATCATATCATAACATATCACATCATACCATATCATATCATGTCATAGTATAGCGCAGCACAGCATAGCGCAGCATAGCATAGCGCAGCATATCATAGCCTAGCATAGCCTAGCATAGCCTAGTCCAGCAAAGCATTGCTCCGCATAACATAGCACAGCATCTCATAGCATAACATAGTATAGCATAACATATCATAGCATAGCACAGCCGTGCTTGCTATCCTATGCTAGACTCCCCAGTATGTGCCATACTAATGCTGATGTCCTAGATGCTCTAACTCCTAGGCAGGGTCGCACTGGGATAATTCGCGTTAAAAGCACGTGCGCCGAGGAGGAGGGGCTACTATTTTGAGCGAGTTGCGTTTCCATACATGTCGCCCCGACCGATGCCGCAATGCGGACACCACCTGACCCAGGGACCCCAACTGCAGCTTCCGACGGTGAGCCAAGAGCCCCACGAATCCCCCATGAGGGGCTCAAGGCGCCTAAGAGCGCCCCGCGTACCACTCAACAGATCGGCTCACGACCCCGACGCAGGTTCCAGGTGGCAGCCCTAGCGAAAGTATCGCGGACCTGGTGCGTTGACAGAAACATCAGCCGTCCCAGCCTCATGCCTCCGTTCCTCCTCATCCTCCCCCTGCTCCACACCCCTCCCTCTCCCTAATCATCACCCCTCCTCCGTCATACTCCGCCGCCTCCGTTCGAGCTCATCGCTCCAACATCCGAGGCATCATATTTGCCGTCGCCTCTGCCGCCGCCTACCCGGACGCCTTCTTTTCGGTCTTGTAAACCTTCCACTCCAGCCGCCCGGGGATGGTAACCACGTCGTGGCCCTTGTACTGCCCGCGCTGGTGTCCGTTCTTGGCGGGGTCGCCGTGCTTGACGACGTAGTCCTTGTAGAGCATGATAGTGTCTGGGTTCTGCTTCGCCTCGACCTCGTTCGAGGTCACCGTCTGAACGACGGCGCGGACCTGGCTCCACTCGACCACGACTCCGACTGTCATCTGCTTGTCCTTGCAGATGGTGATCACCTGCTCGCGCATGCTGTTGAACTTCACCATGAGGTCGGAACCCTGCTCGCCGAAAGCCTTCAAGAACGCTGCCAAGTTCTTGAACTTGGAAGCGTATTCAGCGTTGTAGACCCGAAAGCAATAGAAGCACAAGCGCCTGGGCTGAGAAACCAAGGTTACATTCCTCATCATCCTCACACGCCTCCTTCCCCTCCGCCTTCCCATCGTCCTTCTCATCCTCCGTTATCATGTCCCTCCTCCTGCCCTCATCCTACCACTACTCCTTCCTCACCACCTGCGTTCAGAGGGCCGTCGGTTCACTTATGGTCGGCGCCCAGACGCCCCCCCCAGGGTCTGCCAGGGCTACCCAGAACAGATGCACACTCCGTGCGCGGCCCCCCTGGGCCCCCGGGGAAAGCTTTAAGGGGGATCAGAGAGATCTGCCGAAGAATATGGCATGGTCGTGCCATACTCTTGGGCATCTCATGGAGCCGCCCTGGCTATCGTTTGGGCAGATCTCGGGCCGCCGTTCCCCCCCCCCCATGGGGCCCCAGAGGAGGCGTCGAGAGAGCCCCGGGTGGGCCCAAGGGGGCCCCAAGAGATCCCCAAGAGCAGCCCAAGAGTATGACACGGCCGCGCCATACTCTCGGGCCGCTCCGGGGGCCCCCCTGGGTCTCGTTTGGGCCGCTCTTGGGCAGCAGTCGGGCACCCCTGGGGCCCAGCATGAGGCTCCGAGAGGGCCGCAGGTAGGCCCGAGGGGGGCTCCAAGAATGCCTCAAGAGCAGCCCAAGAGCGTGGCATGGACTCCTCATCCGTCCCCCCCCTCTCCCACGTCCGTGTTTATCCTCATCACCCTGCCCGCTCGTCTCGGGTCGCACGCTGCCAGATGGCAAAACCATTCGGGCTTGACCGATAGACCCTGAGCACCTGGAAGGGTGTCGGTGCTCTGAAGACCTGATTCCTCACACCCTCTCGGCCATTTCGAAGTCACCCCAGGGAACCCCTGGTTCTTGTTTGTCTCTGGGTCTGGTGGGAAGCCCCAGTGCATGCACATCTCGGGGAAGGTGAGGTCTGGATCACTGTCCTTGCAGCTGCACAGGCGGCAAAGGCGACCGTCGGGGATCGCCCGGCGCGCCTTGGATAGCGCCGCAGGCATTGATGCAAGGAGCAGGCGCAGGCGAGCGCCCACGCGAGTGGGGGGCCAAGCGGAAGGGTGCCGCCGCACGATGCTAAGCCGATAACAGCTGTAGATATCAACGGCTGGCGACGGTGGGCACCGGCGAGCTGTTCATACTTCTTTATCCTCCCTCCACCCTCATAGTCATCATCCATCATCCCTCCTAGTATCCATCCCTCCTCCTTCCTCCTCGTCCTCATCCCTACCACCTCCTCTTCCTCCTCAAATCGAAACGCGGCCTCGATGAATCCTGGGAATATCACGGCGGGCCTGCGAGCAAGACCAGGAGTGCGCCAAGGCTGCCCGAGAGTCGACCACGAAAACCAGAAAGCGTTCCAAGGCGGCTCACGAACTCATCACATCACTCCCCCTCTACAGTTTAGACTGCGCTCTCGGGGGGGTGGATATGCAGCGCACCGAGGCCATCTGATCCCTTGCCAATGGCAATGCGCGGTCTTGACGCCGAGCGATCTTACTCGTCATGGCGAGGAATGTCTCGAGAGGAGCTGGTGGCAACGGCAATTGATAGCGGCGGGTGATGATACACGTACTGTTCATCTCCTAGCCTTGCCGCGGCAAGCATCGGTCGAGCCTGCGCGCTGAGCGGCGTCCCCGAACGGCTCGATCACCTGCCTGCAACGCTGCCGTGCATTAATCCTGATAGACACCGCAGGTATGAACACGAGGCGGGTAGACACAGGGCAGGCAGGCGCCCACATCACTGACATATCAGTGCGGAGCAAAGAAAAATAACACATCACATCGCTCAAAGCTCAACTGGAGGCGCCCACCCCGATGAACATGGACGTGAGTACCGCGGTCAACGCATAGCCGTTGAACGCGTTGCCAGCCAACTTTGCAATCTCGTTGTCGGGCCACTCCTCCGACGGGTCGCCGTAGCCGATGAGCCGCATGAGATGGCAGTTCGTGATCAGACGGAAGGTCTTCGCGCCAGCCTTGGTGCGGATACGAGCGAAGACCACTGAGGTGCATGCCAAGACTGGGCAGTACGGCCTGTACGCGCGTCGGAGACCATCCTTCCCCGTGAGAAAGCTGAGCGACTGGTTGATATCAACGAACTGGAACTCCTCTGGTGCGTCGTGCCAGGGCTCCGTTTCCTCGAGGAAGGCCAAGAGCTCCACCTGGCGCGTGCTCAAGGACGTGGTCGCTGCAATGAAGTCGGTGCCGTACTTCTCCAGGTCGGGCGGATAGCCGATGTTCATGTCCATGTAAGCGTCCAAGATACTACCTTCCCAATTGCGGTTCTCAGTCCGCTGCTTGATCAGGTGCAGATCTGTGGCGATGGGAATATCATCCACGGGGCCCAAGACCATGGCCGCTGTCGGAGCTAAAGCACAAGGTGGAAGCCCACTGCACTGCCTCGATGGCTCCTCGAGGCGCGCCCTGATCACGAATGACGCGATGGCGGCCGACGCGGCATCTGCAATGGACTGGTTGTCGCGCCCCTCGAACTGAAACGCAAACACAAACAAGCGCTCCCGTTTTGTCAGGCCCCCGTGGTCTAGCGCCTCGACCACTGCGTGGCTGACGCCGTAGCCGAGGTCGCGCAAGGCACTGTAGATGTGCTGCAGGTCCGACAGCTTCCCATCTGATGGGACCTCCATCAGCTGCTTAACGTTCTCAATGAGTACGAGTGGGGCCCGATGAGCGCGCAAGTAGTTCTCCACGTGGACCCACGTCGTTCCAGTGAGGCCGTCTCCTCGCTGGCAGGTACCCTTGAACTTGGCGCGGTTCTTATTCAGCGGTGACTTGTCCTTGCAAATGAAGCCGAACACTGCCAGATCTGCATCGGGGATGCTGCACAACGACTCTTCCACGATGCACTGCGCGCTGCTCTCGCGCATGTGCTCCATGTCCTCGAACATATGAATGGGCTTCCATTCTGCCAATATGAAAGTCCTGGGGAACTCGGCGTTGTCGCAATGAAACACATATTCAAAGGGCAACGTGGTTCCGTCGGCGTGGAGCGACTTCCAAACGTCGGTCAGCTCATCAGTCACCACCTGGATCACGTTACTGCCGCTGAACCCAGTACCAACGCGCAATGGCCCACCGCGAGCAATGCGCTTGAGGCCCTGGTGCAGGCGCATCTTGTCAAGGTGGGGCAGCTTCGACATCATGCCAGTCATCGCAAAGCGCAGCGCCAGCGCGGGGTCAAACTCGGGCTCGGGGCCGCCCAGCTGAGCGCCTGGTGACACCCCTGCTGGCTGCGCGCCGCGGCGGCCAGCTGACGACTGCTCGCAGCCGGCTGAATCCTCCCAGGGGAACGATCTTGCGCCGCACGCGGCTGCTTTTATTGGCGGGGGGGGGGGGGTGTGGGGAGGGTTTTTTTTCTGAGGGGAGGTTTTTTTTCTAAGGGGTCGACCCCTTAGAAAAAAACCTCCCCTCAGAAAAAAACCTAGCCCAAACAACCTTCTAAAAACTGTCATCCTCGATAGGGGTCGCTCCGATTAACTCCAAAAACCTCTGACAAATAACTCACCTGAGGTTTTTTTTTCTAAGGGGTCACCCCTTAGAAAAAAAACCTCCCTCGGGAGAAAAAAACATATCCCCAGAAACCCAAGCCACCCCAAAAACAACTCGACGGCAAGCCATGCCGCGCAACAATCGTTCCGCCCGAACCTCGTCATCATCTCCCACGGCTGCGCCAATGTTCGCGAAGGCCGCGGCGATGGTGCCCAAGTCCAAGAAGTCGTCGTCTGCGAGGTCCTGCGCCGCGGGCTCGGCGGTGACGAGCACCGAGTCGGCTGGTTCACTGACTGGCGCAAGTACAACACTGAGGTGGGCCTGTCGGTCTGCTGCGCCATCAGCTGGCACCTCTGCGGGCGGCTCCCAGTCGTCCAAGAGGTCACTCAAGGCGTCCTCCAACTCGTCGGCCACGTCTCTGACGTCCTCCGGCGAACGACCTGGCGGGCACTGCTGCGCCATGGGCTCGTCCAGCGCTGAGGCGGCGTCGACCGATGCCTGGGCGGCCGGGCAGGCGGCCCCCAGCAGCTCCACCTGCGCCGGCGCGGGCGCGGCAGACGCCGCGGGCGGAGGCGAAGCGGCTGCCGCCGCCGCGGCGGCTGGCGTCGGCGCCGCGGCGGCTGGCGTCGGCGCCGCGGCGGCTGGCGTCGGTGCCGTGGCGGGCGCCGGCGGAGCCGCGACGGACGGCGTTGGCGCCGCGTCGGGCGCTAGTGCCGCTGCGGGCGCCTGAACCGCAGCGGGCGCCGAACCTGTCGCGGGCCCCTCAGCGGCGCCAAGCGCCGCGGCTGCGCGGAAGGCGTCGATCGCCGCTGGGAGCGTTGCTGCAACCTCGCCGACTGCAGCGGTCAAGCCACGGATAACGCGAGGGGATGGCTGCTGCTGTGCCAGCTGCTCCACATCCCGCAGGGCATCTCCCAGGCGACCAGGCGGGCAGCTGGCCGTCCTCGTCGGAAGTGGGCGATCCGACCTCAAATCCAGCACGTCCGACGCCTGCCCCGAGTCGGCAACCAGCGGGCGGGGCCCAGCGGGAGAGTGCGGCTGCGGAGAGCCTGGCACCGTCGATAGCTCGTCATCGACCATGGTAGCCGCGAGCTCGGCGTGCCTCGGCACGGCGGCCACGACTGGCGAAGACGGCGCCGTCGCGGACCTGGGCGGCAGGCCCGCCCCCTCCTCGCTCACAGCCTCCATGCGGGACTCGAAGGCAGTGGGCGGCCCCTCGCTGTCCGCGAGCGTCTGAGGACCTCGCGCAGCGACAATCGCCTCGCGGCAAAGACAAACGGGGGGTCGATCGTAGGAGATCGGGAAGGATGGGCCAGGCGGTGCCCGAGCGAAGCGGTGGAGGGAGGCAGGACAGGGCACATAGAAGTGGGTGAGGTGACATGGGATGCTGGACGAGGGATCGAGGGTCGGGTCGGTGAACTGGATGGCGGTCGGCAGAAGGGATGGAGTCGGAGTCGACGGACTCGACGGAAGAGGAGGGGGGGAAGGGGACGGATAGGGCCCTTTCTCAATGTATCATGGCGCCTCTAGGAGCCACCCCACCTGGGATCAGTTTGCCTCGCTGCCCCCGAGATCGGCAGCGGCGGGCGCTGACGCGGAAGGACGAGGAGAGGGGGGGGGGAGGAGGAGGAGGAGGAGGGGGAGGAGGAGGAGGATGAGGATGATGATGATGAGGAGGAGGAGGAGGAGGAGGAGGAAGACGATGGGGGGAGAAGGAGGCGGAGGAGGAGGAGGCGCGACATAACCACGAGAGAACAGAACGCCAGGCCCCCCCCCCCGCTGCCCAGCTGGCGTCGCCTCGAGCTCGCTCTCGCCGGCCTCGCTCTCCTCGAGCGCCTGGCGCCGGCGACGGGGGAGGGCGGAGAGAAAGGAGGCTGGTCAAGGGACGGCGGTCGAGGGTGAGATCAGAGGGGGCCGCGGCGCAGAGGGGGAAGTGGAGGAGAAGAACAAGGACAATGGGCTGACAATGGGGAGAGGACGCAAGAGAAAATAAAAAGGTTGAAAGGCTGACAAGAGACCAGGAGGAGGGGCAGGAGGAGGGCGATCAACGGACCCGCCCAAGCGCCTCGGCAGCCGCTGAGCCACCACCTCCCTGACCATCAGCGAGTCCACGCCTGTCCTGGCGGCGCGGCGGCGAGGCGACAGACGAGAAGCAACGGGGGGCTTGCATGGGTTCGGGGCTGGAGGAGGGCAGGCTGGGCCTAAGGGCTTGGGAGCGGGGGTGCGGAAGTAGAGTAGAGTAGAAGGGCAAAAGGGTGGACGCCCGTTGAAGGGGCGGAAGTAGAGCAGAGTAGCGTAAAGAAGAGTAGAAGGTCGAAAGGGAGACCGCCTGCTCCAGAAAGGACTGCCTGCTCTATGGTGGTATTCTCATCCCTCTTCGCCTGCCTCCTCTCACTTCCCCCCTCATCACCACCCTCATCGACCCCCCATCCCCTCCCCGCGTCCACCTGCGTTCATCCTCAGAGGCCACGGGCGCGGATGTGCGCGAAGGGCGGCGCAGGAGCCCGCGAAGCGTGGGCGAAATGCAAAGGAAAAAAACAGTCAACATGGCCCCTCCACCTGCTGCGTCGTCGGCGGGCGCGGATGGGGAGAAGAACCACACTTCGCCTCTGCGACGCAAATGGGCGGAAGGTTGCAGATGAGCCGCGAGACGCACAGCTCTTGGTCAGACGAGCGGTCGCAGGCGAATGAACGCAACGGAGCGGCCACCATATCTACAACTGGCGAGTGACAGCGCTCTTCAGCATCACACCCTCCTTCTTCTCATCCTCCTTCTCCTCCCCCTCCTCCTCCATACTATTCCTTATCCTTCTACTCCCTCCAACCACCTCCTCCCTCCCCCTATCCGCGCCTCCCCCCTGCAATGGCGCTGGCGCCAGTGCCGCTAGGCTTGGCGAGGCGCAGCTCAGCGGCGCCCACCCTCAACGGGCACGAGCCCCTCCGGGATCACGGGCGGGGCAACTAACGCATCGGCTGGCGGCTCGTGCAGAAGGCGGACGTCGCATCCATGCACGTGCAAACTTCTGGCGTTCCCGCCCCGCGGAACCGAGAAGCCCTGCAGCAGCCAACGCTTCAATTGGTCTATGCACTCTGCGTCACCTAACAACGGAGCGCCTGGCCTGCCTCTGAAACGGAGGGCCTTTTTACATCCAAGAGTGGAGTTGCTATCCCAATGCAAGTTGCAGGAACAACCCCACCCTACATGAACGCCGCCAGACACGATGCGAGAAAAAGGAAACGGCCCCCAGTAAAACTCGACGCGGTCGCCGCGGCCAACGCGATCCACGACCGCGGGCTCGCCGGGTGGCGCCTTGGGCGCGGGCGGAGGCGGCGGCGCTGGAGGAACAGGTGGCGCCGGCGGAGGTGCCGCAGGCGCTGCTGCGGGCTTGGGCTTAGGTTTGGGCTTGGGCTTAGCCTTGGCCTTCGCCGCGGCTATCATAGAATTCTTCACTGCCCTCTTGCCCTTCCAAAACTCCCTGAGCAAGCGCGAGTCATCTACGCTAGCCTCAGAAGCAGCGCTGTCACTGTCAGGACAAAGGTCTGCCTGCTTGTCGTCCCCTCCCGCCTTGCCGATCCCGCCAGCGACGGTCGCGGCAGTGGCGGGCCCAATCGGCAGAGCGGCGTCGAATACCGACCCGAAGTATTCTGCCACTCGGCGCTGCTCTCCCCCAGCAGCACCGCCACCGATGTCCCCGCGAAGATCGCTGTACATATCCTGGGGGGCCGAAGGATGGGGCGGTGAAACCTCCTCCCCCTCCTCCTCTTCATTATCCTCCTCCTCCTTCACCTCCTCCTCCTCCTTCTCATCCTCCTTCTCCTCCTCCTCCTCCTCCTCCTCCTACTCCTCCTCCTCCTCCTCCTACTCCTCCTCCTCCTCCTCCTGCTCCTCCTCCTTCTCCTCCCCCCGGGGCCCCTCATCATCCTCCTCCTCCACCTCATCCTATCCTCTACCGTCCCCCTTCAGGTTCCCCTCATCGACCCCCTGATCAATATCGTCAACGTCGTCCCACCCCCTAGCTTGCAGCCCCTTCCCTCCTCCTGCCCGATCCTCGAAGTCCACCTGATGAAAAACGAATGGGGAACTCTCGCCAATGACCTTGCGATCAGCGAGCGGCACCAGCTGGTCTCTCGCGCAGCGAGGCAGAGTCTCGAGGACAACGTACGCCAGTGTGGCCCCCGGGGGGAAGGCAACGACGCCGCCGAACGAGGCCGACAAGGTGCGGATGATCGAAGCCTGCGTGGCCAGCACCAGACGATCGCCAGGGTTGACGGTGATGGCCACGCCGCCTGGAATCTCGTGTCCTCGGCTAGCAGAATTGACGAGGGGGATCCACCTCCTCCTGCGCCTCCTCCCACATCCCCCTCCAGCTCGTTATCCTGTGCCTCCTCCATCCCCCCTCGACGTCCGCCTCCACAGCGCAGCATAGCACAGCACAGCATAGCATAACATAGCATAGCATAGCGCAACATAGCATAGCATAGCATAGCGCAGCATTTAATCGGGCCCCTCCTCCAGCCACTCCACCAGCTCAACCCCCTGCCAACCCCCAGGGGGAAGGTGGAGGGGGGGTTTCATTAAGGACTGAGATGCAGGAGGAGGTGGAGGAGGAGGGGGAAGAGGAGGGGGAGGAGGAGGGGGGGGAGGAGGGGGGGGGATGAGGAGGACGAGGGGGAGGAGCAGGAGCAGGGAAGGATCGAGGACGAATTGAAAGCCCGCATCATCGGCCACAAGTGTTCAAGTTCCCGTGTCCAAGAGCAAACAAGCACAAGCGCGGATCTGCTCCTCGAGCGAGACCGCACGCAGCAATGATGGAGTGCGGGGTGTCGGGCACGTGCTCGCCGCCGTCGTCGCGCATGGTGAACCTCATCCACTTGCCCTCGTGATCCTCCGAGTAGATCGTCTCCCAGAGGGCCTGCCCGATGTCCACGCACATCTCCCACTCGTCGACCTCCGAGCGGCAAATGCCAGGGTTCTGGCGGTAGCAAGGCGCCCTGTCCACGTATTTGTTCTTGTCGGGTATGTCGAGCTGGTCCATGACGAAGACGCCGCGCTGGAAGTCCTCCCGGCACGCAGGCCCCCACGACTCGAAGCTGGCGTTGGCGTCGACCGCCGCGCGGCCAGCGTGCTGGAGGTACCTCGCAGTCGCCAACGGGAGACCGTCGCCAGCCAAGTCGAAAAGAGAAGCAGGCTTCGAGGAAACAGAGCCTGGCAACTCAGGCATTGCTCGCGAGTCCTGGCGCTCCCTGTCGATACTATGCTGAAGCTCTTTCTTGGTCGCCGAGTCCAACTGCGTGTAGTCCTGCAGGGCCTTCTTGAATTCAATCAAGTAGGCCTCTCGATCCATGGTCTCGCTCATGCGGCCGCACTTCTGGTGGGCGTATTTCAAGTTCGCTCTGGCGCCTCCACGCTTGCTGACAGCGGCTGGCCGCGTCCTCTGAAGCTCAATGCCGTGGTCCTCCATGTCTTTCGCAGAGTCTACTCGTGGATCTCGCCCCCCGGCGGTGATGTGCTGCGTGAGGAACTGGGCGAGAATGCCATTCGCGGCCAACTTCTCCATGACGGGCGGAGCACCTTCAGATGGGACACAGTTGTTGACCAGATTCAAGAGGCGCTCCACATGCATATTGCACACTCGCGTCTTGGCCGCGGCCAACCGCATGGCATCCCAGAACGCCACGTCGTTGAACAAGGACGGGCCATCCTCGAAGAGCTTGCGGATCTTCTCGCCCATGTCATCGAGGTCGCAGGCAGGCGCGCCGAAGAACTCCTCGCACACGCGCTTGCCGTCGTCAGGTGACAGATACAGCACGGTAAACAAGCGTAGAGGCCAATGCGAAAACTGGACATTCAAAAAATGCTCGATCTGAACCCACATGCTCAACAACATCCCAGTGGCAATGTCTTTACCCCTCTCAAGCTCGGACTCGTCTAACTCTAGCTGGTACCACAAAGCTGAAAGACTGCTGGTGGCGTGGGGCTGCGTCAGCATCTGGACGAAGTCCTGAAGGCAATGATCAATTGGATTCGTCTGCCTCCCTCTGCAAATGTCGGCCAGCGCTCCGCCGTTCTCGTCGAGCCACTCGAGGCGCCGCCACAAGTGCGTGGGAACCCGCGCACAGAACATCGTCGTCAAGAACAGCGTCGTCCATGCTGAGTCCTGCATGCAACGAGTTGCCCGGGCAGCCTTGCTCCTAAGGTAGCGCCTCCAATCATCCGAGTCCTCCCTCTCGTCCGCGGACCTGCCGGGCCTGATGTCGCC